CGGGGCCGAGGCTGGCCTCCCCGCCGCCGTGCTGCGAGGCTGTAGGGAAGGGGCACCGCGGGCGCCCCGGAGCTGTCGGTGAGTGCGTGTGTGGCCTTCCCTGGAGCGGGGTCGGGACCGCCACTGCCCTTCGAGTCGGGTAGGGAAGCCCCCGGCCGGGTTCCACCCCCTCCCGCCTCCGGTGGGGAGTTAGCCGTCGCCGCTCGGTCTGTGAGTCTTGCCGCGGGGGCTGCCTGCCCACGGCTCTGCTGTGCCCCGCGGGGATGTGGGTTCCGTGGCCCGCGACCCTCTCGTCGGTCGGGCTGTGGTCCTTTCCCCCCATCCCTACGAACTCGTACGTGGCAGCGATTTTCGAGCAGGTCGTGACAGGTCCGCCCCGGGGTTGCTTCTCCTGCCGGCTGTTTCCTGTGTGTTTGCAGCTCCTCTTTACGTGGTGGCGTTTGTAATTGTATTTCCCTCAGTGATCTCTTCCCCAAAAGACCTTTACGTCTTTCAGCCTTTCCGAAGAGGTGTTCTGTTGAGATCTCTGGTAAACTGGAATAAATTCTCTCCTGTGAGGGCGGTGAGCCCCTGGCCCAGGTTGCCCCGAGAAGCTGTGGCTGCCCCATCCCTGGAGGTGCTCAAGGCCAGGTTGGAGGGCCTGGAGCAACCTGGGCTGGTGAGAGGTGTCCCTGCCCAGGGCAGGGGGGGTGGAATGAGATGATCTTCAAGGTCCCTTCAACCCAAACCATTCTGGGATTCTCTGAAACCGTTGTGCTGTTACGGCTATTTCTGCGGCGTGCTGGGAAGCGCAGTGCTACGCGAGGGGCATTGCCACAGGTGAGCTTGGGCTGCACCTTCAGACAGTGTGTCGTGCGCTGGGCTGGCTTCTCGGTAACTGCTTGGGTTTCAGTTGTCAGGTTGGCTCATGCCGTAACACCTGAAGATGGTTTTCATAGCAGAGCTAGGCCATTTAAAGGGTGTTATCTTCCACAGTCCTCTGACAAAAGTTACTATTGTGCAGACTGAAAACTGGCACAGATAAATTTCTTGTCATGTATTTATTATTTAACAGGCTTTTTTATTCTTTCACAGCAAATATTTGTGCATGTGTGTAGGTTCTTCTGAGTTTTAGGAGGTGTTTTATTAGCGATGTAATGTTCTAGAGTTTAATTTCCATGTGTTTTTTCCCTTTTGTTTTTTAGATCATTTAATCCGTTCACAGTAATTTAATCAGCCAATACTTTGAATAAAAAGGAAAAAAAATGATGTCAAGACAGGCTTTTCTCTGCAGTTTGGGATCTCTGTATTTGTCCCTTCTGTTTGTCTTTCTTCTAATGGATGTTTATGCAAGGCCTGCAAATAATTCGGCCCTCAAAGAAAAGCCAGCTGACAGCAAAGATGAGAATGAGATCTTGCCCCCAGATCACTTGAACGGGGTCAAAATGGAGATGGATGGACATCTGAACAAAGAATTCCATCAAGAAGTTTTTCTAGGAAAAGAGATGGAAGAGTTTGAGGAAGATTCAGAACCGAGAAAAAATAGGAAGAAGCTCATGGTCATCTTTTCAAAGTAAGTTATGTGCATTGCCAAGAAGACTCTTTCTCTGATCTTCAGAGTAAAATACGCAAATTTTTCTGTAATACTTAAAAATTGTAATGATGAGGGAGAAAGCATCACTCTATAAGCACTGTGTTCATGTTATTGGTGTATACAGGTACATTAACACCTCATTCTCAGGAGTGAGAATGCATGTGTTCAGAGTCACAATCAGTACACAGGATTGGTGCTGTGGTCCGGTAAAATTTATGACGAAACGTACCATTTCTATGTGAAAAAACCTACCTAGCCTCTCGAGGTAAAGAAGTTAATGCTACTTTTTCCTGTTTTCCTGGCTGACTGAATAATCAATCACACTTGTATCTTAAGTCAAGGAATTAGTAGGGAAGGTCTTCCTTAGTGGTAGGCTGCCCATGCAATGAATTGGGAGGGTGGGTTTTGTTTTAGCGGTAGTGTGCTCTGTGGCTTTGCTGTGAGCTTAGTTTTGATTGGCAATTTGAGTTTCTTATTTATTGTTTGGTCTTATATTCCATATGGATTTTTATTTGTTGTTGTTTCTGTTGTGACTTCTGCAAATAACCGCAGAGGAAAAACACTGAAAAGACAATAGTAAAGCCAGAAGGGATGAAAAGGGACAAACAGACAATGGGGTAAGATTGTGGTAAACAAACAATTACTTTCTGTTCGTAAAACTTTCTAGTAGATGCTAAGTGTCTAAAATCAGTGTGTTTCAAATGAAATACCTGAAGGTTAAAAATAATTATGCCTAACAGCACATACCAAGAGTTCAGAAATGGACATGGCGACTTTCGTCATTAAGTTAGCAGTGTTGTTAACAGAATATTGAGCTCCTCAGAATTTAGAAAAAGAAAAGAGAATGAAACGTGAGAATAGAAAAATGAAATTTTTCTTTTGTAGCCTTATTGAAAACTTCATCTAGCTCTTTACTTGGTGTCAAAATATTAACTTTACTTTTAGGCATTAAAGCATTTTCCCTTTTATAAGGTACTTCTTGTGCTAGATAAGGTTCGTGTTGGCTAATAAACTGTCAAGATGTTTGGAGGTCAGTAAACATAATGGCAATGGAAATCAAAATCAGTGTGTACTTTTAGACACTAGATGGCAGAATTGTCTTTATTCGCATTTTTTCAGTGGAGGATTAATTTTATTAGGACAGCTTAAATTACATTGGTGCCCTTAATTCTGATGGTGGTGTAAGGATGCATATATACTTGAGCTGAAATGAGAAGGCTTAACAAAGCTTTTTTTTTCTGCAAACTTTTCATTAACAAGGAAATAATATCAGTAATAACATTGAATTTTATTTTTTTTTCTGATGTTCTCCTGAGTAAAGTCAGCTAAAGCAAATAGCAAACCAGAGGGCCATTTTCATTTAAAGTAGAATCCATTATTACTATGTCTGCTATTCAGACCACTCACTTCATTGGTAGGATGTATACAAATAATAAGATTGTCCTTAGAAGCTTTCATTTTCTTTATTGTTATGTGTTTATTGGAAACATTCAACTGGTGGTTAGTAAATTGTCATTCACAAATTGCAAACTCTGTTCACTTCTGCCTGATTATTACGAAAGAGGAAGCTTAAAGCAATTGGATTCAAGATCAACTTCACTCAGATACTTACTTAAAATTGCATTCTGTCGGATGATCAGATTAGAAATGTAGAAAAGCATTCTGAGGAATGTGGTTGCTTTCTAGACATAGTCTTAAAAACTGAGTGAAAAGAGAAATACTACGAACTCCTGTGAAAGGCTAGTAAGGCACTGGCTTCCAGCTGCTTTGGAAATACTTTCTTTGAAGACATAAAGAAAACACACAATGTTGTTTTTATTAATGACAGCTGAGATTCTATGGCATGCCAGTATGATATAAAGTAGTCAATTCAAAGCATGCATTATTGTCTAATAGGGTTACTGAAAATGAAGTTGAAACATGGAAGTGAAGCTCCCCAAACCATGTTTTTCTAGGCAAGCAAGCTATATGTGACTGAAAGAACAAGTGGCATTTCATAATTCCGTATTTCAGTTTCTGAAGTCACTCTTTACTGGGAGGACAAGCCTAACTTGTCTACAGAAGAGTTTTTTTGCAAGTTAACCAGTCCTTCCACTTTGCCGCGTGAAATTAGGCATGGTGCAGGAAATCCTGGGTGCATCTTTTTAATCTTCTTTCCCTGCCAAGTGTAAGTGTTCAGGAATCTTCAGGTCAGGAAAGTCTGTGAGGGGGGCTTATTTGACAACCTTTCTTCTTGTGTTTCTCGTAATTGCAAAAACCCCATTTGTTGTAGTCTCCATTTAAATAGTTTAAATTAGCTTGGAATCTATAGAAAATTCTTTTGCTATATGGTGTAGTTTAGCTTGTGTAGGTGGGTGTTGATGGGAGGGAAGGAGGAAGGATATTGAAAGCAATCAAGTGTATTTATGACAATGCTGATTTCACTAAATCAATGGCACTAGAATTTCACTAAATCAGTGGTGCTAGAATTCAGTTTGGTGAGCCTTGCTTCTAAGGGTCGGTTATCTTTTAAATTACTTGTACTGAACAAAACCGATAAATTCAAGTCAGAAGAATGTAATGTGTGTGGCTTTCTGTCAGAGTGTTTTTGTGGTGTTGGTGTTACCCCGGTGAGTTTGATATTTGAGTATCCTTCTACCATTTGCATTTTACTGATGTTTTCAGCTACTTGGCAGCAGCCCTAGTTGTGATTTAAAAATTAAAATCTTGGTGTTAGCTGAGTGCCTTACCTTGATGGTCGTTCATCAGGTTATGGGCTTAAATAGACCCGTGTACAGAAGCTTTTTGGTTTGATTTTTCTCCCCCTTGTTTAAAGGTCGTGAACTTATCCTTTCCTAAAGCAGAACTCATTGTGAATCCCACAGTGCTTGTAAGTGCTCTCTTAGACTTTACAGCTGTGACTGTTTGTGTTCAGGTTGCACATAGGGCAAGATCCATGCCCCCTTTTCTTAAATTCAGGTTTGTCTCATAGCCTATCACAGTATTTGTTTCTACTGGTATGCATTCTGTCTGTGGTGGGAAGGTGCTGGTAATGACAGCTGATGTTGGACAATAGCAGGTAGAATAGAGAACGAGGAGGGGGGACGTTTTAAGCTTTCCTGTTTTGATATCCTCGGTTTAGATTAGAGATTTGTATTATTCAGTTAAAAAACTGTTTATGCTGTATGCCACTGGAAGGTTTTAAGTAGCGTGTGCACCCTGATTTGTGTTTTTCCTAACCTGTACTTTTAAGTATACATCTAATAAATTTTGCATACCTCCTACCATGTAAAGTAGAGCTTTGCTATCGTTTGTTATTAAAAGTTATTTTCTGAATCTGCTCTTCACTGTTGGGATGAAACAGAAACCAGCTCTAAAGTGATAATGCTCAAAGGAATTGTTATCTTAAGTCCTTTAGGTAAGAACACTGCGTTCCTGCTCCCCCCCGGTACCTCGGGCAGCATTGCAGGGTTGTCATTCAGGAACCTGAAAGCATGAATCTGAAAACCTGAGGGGTGAATGTTTATTGATAATACTCTCAGATGTGGCCCTTTTGAAAGGTGGCCACAAAAATCTGATTTTTAATGTCTGGTGATTGAAAAGCTGGGCTTGAAGCATTTAAAACCTGTTCTTCCAGGTTTAACACCTATATTTAGTGCAACTGTTACAGGCTTTTGCTAAGGAAAAATTTAAAATTATCCTACAGAGTAGCATACTTGCTTGTTCCTTAATCAAAGGTAGTATTAACATTTAGGCTGTGAGTAGATAATGAAATATAGTTTGAATAGTCAGGGAAGTGTTAACCTTGAGCTTAGAAAGGAGCTGTTATGTCTGATGCTGCCCATTAGTGAAATGTATTAATACACTAATGGTATTTACCATGTTGCATCAACTACGTCTGGGCTGTGGTTTATCTATAATTTTCTTTGGAATGGGACAGGTAAGCAATAAGGTACGTTGCTCTCTGTAGTCTGTTTTTTAATTTAAATTTATGCTAACGGTAGTCCTTGCTGTTGCAAAAAAGTTGCTGTCAGTTCAGGAGGTAGTGCATCATATACTGCTCTAAATCATATACATATCATATGTCAAGCTTTGACAAATTTGAGATGGCAGTCTCTAGCAGAAAACTATGCTTCTTGTAGGAAAAGAGCAATCAAGATTTTTTTTGTTGTTGTTTGGTTGGTTTTTTTGAGCTGGTATATTGTGTAGTTTGAGAAATGGTCACAAGATTTCTGTACACAGCTTGCCAAGGAAGGTTTGAGCAAAGTTGTAATCTGAGATGATACTCATGCTTGGACTCATCTTGTTTTCTTGAGCTTAAGTTCTTTCTTGCCAGTATTTGGGTTTTGACAATTTTTTAAGGAGTGCATTAGAGTGTACTACTCCTTACTAACATCTTTTTGAGTGTTCAGGCCAATCTGCCTCAAAAGTGATTGCCCATCACTGTTTTACAAAATTGGTTTTCTGTGACTTAGCACTATTAGGCTGTTTGGCAACACGTAATTATCTAAGCTTATTGTTATTAGTGGAAATGTTTTTAGTAGTCCGTTCTGAATGAGATATTTATCTAAGGAAGCATGGACAGTCTTTTGGTTTTATTGCCTTAGATGGTAACCTCACAGAAGGAAGATATATTGTATTTCATACAGTTGTAAATATTCCTCTCAGAAGCAGAAGTGCTGTTTATGGTCCCTGAAAGGATTTCAGCACGCTTTGTACAGTGGATGCCTGCTAGCTCATGAAAATCTGAGGCATTGGGGACTTCTTGTGAGCTGTGGTAGCAAAATAAAGGTGTACTTTCCTGAGCTAGAAGAGCAATAAATGGGATGTTTGTTACCTTTCTCCCTAGTTACAATGTGATTTAGATGGAAAGTACAGCTTGGAAGTAGTAAGTTTGATAGCTTTGATCTAAGGAAACTAGAATGTTAAATGTTGAGGGGAAAATGCCTTGATTTCCCTTGTCAGTTTTGATAGTACCTATTTCATCTCAAAACCCACGTTTTTTTCACCTGGTAAGTGCAAAGTGGCACGAATGGAACATGACCATTTTACTGGTCTTGCCATTGATACTGAAAAGTTGCTAATACTAAGCCCATGAATGTGTATGTGGAAAGATGTGATACAATGTTTAAAACCACTAATACTGCATTTATTAATGCAGCTGAGTGGTGTAGTTTGAGCAGAGTAGGTGCTAGGGTTGTTACTTGGTTTAAGCTTTTAACATTTAGTTGACATTTAAAGGCAAATCACATTTAATAACTTAAGTTTCAATAACACTTCAGTCCTGTTAAGACAGCGATACAAACAGATTAAAAAAGCCAGAGTCAAGATGGGATTTTTTTGTTGTGTTTTTCTTTGTTGGTTTTTTTGGTGTTGTTTTTTTCATTGAACAAGAGTGGTTTTGGTATGCTTTAAATAGAATCTTGCCTCCTGTTAGTGATGAGTTTTCAGTTTTAAATATCGTTACATCTTTTTTGAATAAATACTTAATGATATGCTCAAAAAAACCTTAAAGTGGCATGTTATTGTTTTTGTATTATTTCTTCAACTGTGATTTGTATATTAACTTCTTTTTAATGAAATGAGCATTAATGGAATTGATGGTATGGCAGTTTATCTTAATACAATAAAGCAGTGTTGTCAGTGCATCAGGAGAACAGTGGATTGTCAGATTGGATTATCAGTTTACTGCTAATTTTAGTCAGGTAGAAAAAGCTTAGTTCTGTAGCTCAGTAGTTCAATAGCAGTGAGTACAAGAATATCCTTTGACAAAGCAAAGTAAGCGTGATAACGTAGAAACCTAACGGAGAACAAATATACGTGCAGAACTTTTAAATGTGTTAAGAATTAGAAACTTATCAGCTGTAATGTATCGCCAGAAATCAAGGCATCCCAGATCCAAGGTATCCCATATCCAGAGATCAAGGTGTCAAGACTCGCCCCACTCAATCTCAAATCTAAATCTTGTTTGCTATTCATCCATAGGGTGGATATAAATAATGATAAAAAGATAAGTGCAAAAGAGATGCAGCGCTGGATCATGGAAAAGACAGATGAACATTTCCAGGAAGCTGTGGAAGAGAATAAAATGCACTTCCGAGCTGTGGACCCTGATGGTGATGGTAAGATGAATGATTCCTTCATCTCCTGATGACATCTTAAGTGGGTTGCTAGTAGCCAAACCTACTGGCTGCTCTTCAGATATGCAGTGACAAAATCCAAGTTCCTTTGCACTGCATGTAATCACAACAGTTTTGATCTATACAGAAGACAATAGAGAAAAGTGGTGATGTGCTCCAGTTAGCACTGTAGTTCTGTGTTGACTGCTATGTTATTTCACTTGCAGTCATAGCAAATTGTAACAAGTGGCTCTGCCAGGGATCCGGGGATCCGGTGAGGAGGGTGACATAAATACGTTATTTTCACAAGGCCTGTCTGGTCTAAAGAAACATAAAAGTGAATCGAGTGATAGTTTTCATATTGCCATTCATAAAACTTAGTGTGATGGTTATAGTGCCTGAACCAAAAGATTTTAGCACATACCATTTTAAGTAATGAGACCAAAAGTTTGTCATCTAAGCGTACTATGTTATGTCTGAGATATGGCTCTTTCTTACAGGCCATGTGTCCTGGGATGAATATAAAATCAAATTTTTGGCAAGTAAGGGCTTTAATGAAAAAGAGATTGCAGAGAAGATCAAAAACAATGAAGAGTTGAAAATAGATGAAGAAAGTAAGTGCAGACCATTGGTGTGCATTGGTTTTTCTTTTACTTTCCTAAAACCTGAGTGTCAAAACTGTTACAGCTGTGACTGTAATGTTTCAGTTGATGAATGTTTCAGTTGTTTTTCTGCTTCTACGCAAATGTAGAATGTGTAATAAGACTGAAGTACTAGATTTCTTCCCAACCCAAATCTGCCTTCCCAACACTTTTGATGTAAATATTTAACACTGAAAAATCTTGGTTTCTTATTTGTTACTGCCTATTTGAATAGTTTTCAGTTATTTATATTTAACAGTCTGCTAAAATTTGTCAGACCTGTGTTGCCCATGGACCGTTGTATTGTTAATGCGGGAACCAGGTCCCCTGTTGCTCCAAATGCAAGGGAGCTGCTCCGTGCGATGCCTCTTCTAAAATTGAGGAGGGGTGTATGTGCTACCAAACGGCGTTGTGTTTAAATAGGTATGTGCTTAGGCACTGGAAGCATACGAGAAGTTAATAGCAGAAGGTTGCTGAACAGTTGTTTCATCTGAGTTCTCTGTAGAGAGATTGATTTTTTATTTTTTTTTTTCAGGTTAGTGAGATTGATCATTTCTTCCTTGTTACTTTTGAAACTTTCATTTGAATCTGGCTTGGTATAGACATGGCAACTCTTAACAGAGTAATCTCCCTGCTCTGCCCCATCTAAAAGTGTTTAAATTTACTGTTAAGTAAAACACGAAGCCTTAGCCTTTCCTTGCAGGAATTAGTCATTTAAAAGTGGGTTATGTTATATTTTCCATTTATCAAAAAGCAACTAAAATGCAAATGGGCCTTTGGTTTTATGGCAGGGAAAACACCTGTGCAGCGTGTTCTATGGCAGTGTGGTTAACTGCAGTTTACAGGAATGCTCATCAGATAAGATTTGCTGAATAAGGGAAGTGTGTACATAATCATTTTTCTACCTAGGTAGCAAGCCTTGTTTGGGAAAATCAAATTAGTTATCTACCGCTTCCTGAGGATGATAGGCAAAACTTATTTTCATACTCTAGTGCAGGCTAAAATTACTCTTTTTCGGTCTGTATAATAAAAAATAACTGAATGTGTGGATCTTAAGGCATGTTCTGAGTCTGGCACAGAAGCACACTGCAGTTTGGATGCCAGGCCAAAACTAGGGACAAAACTTTATTTAACTTATGCAGATAACAACAGTTTCAACTGATGACTGACAATTGAGTTTCATTTAAGACTGAGTAAGAAAGATAGGCAGAGGGAGATTGACTTGAGTTTTCTAACATGTGGGGTTGGCTACAGTGGCAAACCATAAGCAAGTGATTTGATTATTCTGTGTTTACTTCTGTCCTTGATATAACTAAAATTTGCCATGTGCAAACTTGCCCTACCATCCCTATGAAGACTGTGAAGGGCTTGTTTACTCTTCACAAAAAAAACATTTACTGAAGACTCGATTACAACTAGCAGTTCAAAAAATGTATATGTGACCGTTGGTGGTGTTTTTTTGTTGGTTTTTTGTTTCTTGTAACTCAACAACCAAAGGCATGCAGGACGTATTTAAGAGAGTTCATTAAATTTAAAAAAGAAAAAAAAGGTTATGTGAAGACTGTAGTCTTTCAGGGTGTTTTTAAAACTTGTGAAAAGCAAATGCTTCAGATTTGTGTTTGTTAGTGTATTTTGCAGATAGCAGGGTGTGCTACAGGCAGTATTTTTTCCAGTGTGTCATTTAGAAAATGACTACACCAGAAAACGAATACTCTATACAGGTATTTTTTTCCTGTTTGGTTTTGTTCAGGACTACTAGGTGCACATAATATTCATGTTGTGTGTTGCAAGGTGGTTTTTTCTTCAAATCAGATGCATGGTTTTAGTGGAAACTCATGTGAAAATTATGGTTCTCAGTTGAGTTTACGAAAAATTCACTTAAAAAGTGCTTGTCTGCATGGTGTAAGACAAAATGAAAGTAGTGGAAGTGTAAAGTGATTTTGGTGCTGATGTAGCTGTTCGTGCACGTGTACTTCAACTTGCATTTGCTGCTTCCAGCAAAAATATTTCCCTTTCATTAAATTACGGTGATAAACCGGGCACGTGTTTTGTTTTAGTTAGGTTTGAAGTCAGAAAGCTTTCTGATACAGAATAGGCAAGGTAGCTAAAAGGAGTAATAAGTATCTGTATCCTCAAGTAACGGAACACTAAATGCATTTCTTGGTGCTTAGCTTAGCGTCTGGTCTTGATGTTTCCAAGCTTTCTTTTGTAGAGCTACTCTGTTAAATCTCTCATAGTTCCAACAAATCACATTTTTAGGCTGATCTATTTGAGTCTAAGGATATAAGATGTCTCTGAGTAGGCAGTTCTCTTAAATTTTGAGCCTTTGGCAGGGTAAAGAGGAGGAGCAGAGGCAGGGCACAAGTCTCTTCATAGCTTTCCTCGTCCTCTGCTTTATGGCTTTGCTTATACTGACTTCTCAGTTAGATGCTTTGTTAAGAACAGCTGTCCATTGAAATATATTGTTGATTGCTGTAAAAACTAGGCTTTGATTTTTCTTCTTTATAATCTGTTTAATACAATTCTTAAGCTTAATTCACATATGTAGTTTTGTGGAGAGTGAGGTTGCTATCTGGAATTGCGGTGTTGCTGGAGAAAAATCTCTGCACTTAAAATTGTGTGCAGTATGCATAATTCCATCATCGCTTTGTGGTAGGTCAGTGTACCATTTTGTTAACTCAGTTTTTGTGAGCTTGAACATACCTAAAAATACTTCAATAATACAACTGGTTCTGGTTTAGATAATGTTATGTTAAGAAATGCCAAGTTGAAATAAGAAAAGTGGTGGTGTAACATTGGAGTAATAAAATGTGTCCCTTTGATCATGCCTGGAACGGATGTGTTGGCAAAGAATATTTTCTTATCTGTGGTAAGACTTAATGAGTGCTGTAGAGTAGAATAAACCTATGCAGTGCTATTAGCCAAAGCACTGGTACAGTGGGGCTTCACAGGTCAGAATTGTCTTTATAGATTTAATGATAGTCATGTTATTTGGTCTTAGAAGAAAACACACTAATCGTTAAAGGGTTTGTTGTTATGGTTATTATTTTGGTAGGAAAAGAATTGGTTGACATCTTCCTTTCTTGTAGATACTAACCAGGTGTGTGATGTCACAATTACAATACACGGAGACAGTGAATCTGAAGAATGTTTTGGCTATTTCAATGCGCAGGACTGGTTTGAAGTAAAAAAAAAATAAATTATTCATTCAGAAGAAAGGTGCTACTGGTATTTAGGCAGGTGAAAGATTTCTGTTGGTTGTGGGCTTCAAAAAATGAAAACAATAAAGGAGAAAAAGAAGTACTGAACAAAGTTGGATTATTTATACCTCCTACCAGAACCAGCTAACAGTACTGGTAGGACAATACTTTTCGCTTGATATGTTGAAGTTTTGATACAAATGTTGCCAAATTTTTATTTTCATCTCCTAATTTCAGTTCAGTTGTTTGGTTAAATGATCTTTCCCAGTGTTTCAGCACAAACTAGATGACACTAATTGCACTTTGTTTCCCCTCGGTACCTGCTTTCCCTGGGAGTTGAACTGTGAAATAGCTGGTCCATGGGTCATCCTTGTTTAAGCAATTGGGTAATGGGGGAAGGTATCTTTTAAGAACTTTAAATAGAATGAACATGATAGACTAAATCTTTTTCTTAAATTTCTAGCACAGGAAGTTTTAGATAATCTGAAGGATCGGTGGTACCAAGCTGACAACCCACCTCCTGATCTGTTGTTGAACGAAGAAGAATTTTTATCCTTTCTTCATCCAGAGCATAGTAGGGGAATGCTGAAGTTCATGGTGAAAGAAATCATTCGAGATTTGGGTATGCCATTTTAAAACATGTTTCTTGGGAGTTGATTACTTGCAAACCGTTTTATTGGGTAGATGTTGGTATGCCATTGCACTGTTACGGGTCAGTCTGAAATTTTGGCACGTCTTGTTTGCTCTGCTCTACACATCTTCCAACGTGGTGAGCAAGAAAAACAAAGAGCACAAATGCTGGCATCTCCATGGAGTTGCCTGTGCACCTCTCAACACTAAATTTAGTCTCTGGTTGTTAAAGAAGAGCACAACATTATACGTTAGAAAGATGTTCTGAGTACTTCAAACCAAAAAGATCAGCTGACACTACTTCACACTGAAGTGCTGCTGCAGTGTAGGGTCATAGTAGCAATAGTAGAAAAGGTTTGATGGATAGTGAAATGCTATAAAATATACTGATGTGAATGCTCTGTGAGGAGGTCATTAAATGCTTTGTACTTCCCCTGTACAGCAGCCATGTAAGAATTGTGATGTACAGTTGTGAAAGTGGAAATAAATGGTTGAGGTTTCTAAGAAAATAATTTTTTTTAAAATTCGTAAGTATTGGCACACATGGGTTTTTTTTCTATTGAGTCAACAGCAATGCATATTTAAAACTGCTGCAACACCTAGATTAAAAAAGAAGAGAACTATGACTCTGCTAGTTGTTAGCTTAATAAATACGAAGTTTCCAGTGACACTTGAGTGTGTGATATGTACAGACAGAACAGCTCCAGTATGCAGTCTTTTATGAGAGTTAATTTACCTGAATGCTAATACAAGGGGAGACTGGATACAGCTGTAAGAAGCTTTCTGTTGAAAAAATAAACAATGGCAATTTAAAAAAAAAAAAAAGCCCAGTTTGCCACCTGGTGTGTCTTTCAGGTCCAGTAAAATTCTTTTTGTTTCGTATATTGATGGATGTGTGTGTGGTTGTTTTTTTTAACCTTCTGAAACATCATGTGTGTACCATAGTACAGGGAGTTTTCGGCTAACCAAAGATACAAATGGTGACTATTCCTCTCTGCTAGAGTGAGGATTGTGGACTGCTGAAACCAGGCAGACTCTACCAGAGACGTCTCCCACATGAAGGAATTTCTCATTTTTTAATGGGCGTTAAGCAAATGCTTTTCAGTTACTATGTACTTCTGTTGTAGATCAAGACGGAGATAAGAAACTTACCCTTTCAGAGTTCATTTCATTACCTGTTGGTACTGTAGAGAACCAGCAAGCTCAAGATATTGATGATGACTGGGTAAAAGACAGAAGGAAGGAATTTGAGGAGGTCATCGATGCTAACCACGATGGTATTGTCACAATGGAAGAGCTGGAGGTAAGTCTTCCTTAGATAGTTAGTTTTAGTGTTTTTAAAACCAATATTTGTTTTTTAAATACAGGATTGAAACTGCTGTAGAGAATACGAAGTCCAAAAATACTTGAATTAGCAGTACAACGTGTATGTCTACTTTATAATTGGAATAGAGTATTGTTCTATAGTGCTTGCGGATAGCGGTGTTATGCTTTTTGTTAAAGAGGAGGGGGAGTTTTCCTAGCATAACTGTTATTCATAGGTATGCTTTTAGGGTTCCTTGTCACATAGACACTTGTATGGATATGCAGCGCATGAAAGCAAGTCACAGACTTCATTAGGTGCAGTGGTTAATGGGACAGTGAGTCATACTTTCAGTTGCAAAAGGAGTAACTGGCAAACTATATATTCATTTAAAAAAAAAAACCCAGGAAAGAAAACAAACCAAAAAAACCCAACGACCAACAAACCCTGGGGCCCCAGTAGCATAGAAAATAGCAGAGATTTCTTCTTTGAGGTGTTTTTCTTTTTTAAAAAAATGAAATGATTATTTTCAAGTGTGGATTCTAGTTTGTGGCCTTTTTAGACTTTGGTTTCCAGAAGTAAGGCTTTCTTCTAAATTCTGTCTGCAGAAGAGTCTACCAAACAACATGAAATGCTTTGCACCCTACAGTTATGGCAGTTTTGTGGCCAATGGAAGAGGTTCATGGCTCATTTCTGGCTTTTTTACCTTTCTGGGTGTAAGCACGTACCTTGTCTAGCAGAATTCAGACTGCAGCATAGGCAGAGTGAAAGGAGAACGTCTAAAATATTGGCCTTCTCCCCGAGACAGGATGAATGTTAAAGTTTCTGAGCTTCTCAGTATGCAAATATGTGAGTATGAACGATAGTTGCAGTATGGATAAACAGTTATATTGTGACATAGATTATGTTAATAGCCTTTTGACTGAGAATTTTCTTTTAAAAATAGCCGGTTTATTTGTGAAGTCTTTGTATACGTATATGAACATGGACGCACACGCATATATGTCACATCTTCTGGGAAGAAATTGAAAATAATCTTGAGTCTTTTACATCATGAACTAAAGTGCAGTGCTTGAAATCTTTTAATCTATTTCAAGTTAGGTGAAGGAGTATAATGCTTCTGACCTCTGTAACGTCTGCCTGGTGGTTTAAAATGGAAGAAGAAAGTTCTAAATTGAACGTTATAAAAGGACTATCTCCAGAAACAGAAAAAATTGGGTCATACAGATTGATAGTGTGCCACTTTTTAATTTTGAATTGATACTTCTTCACAAAACCCACTAGATTTGATAGTCAGTTTAGTTTGCAAGCAAAATGTCAAAAATATTTTTATTGTAGACGCTGGCATAAGCAGAGAAAATCTGGATTTATGTTGGAACAGCCAAGGAAGCAGTGAATGGAAAAACAGCTAGGAGATAGATGCAGGCCTGTTGAAAAGATGTGCTAACACCTTTTTCCATGACTTATGTTCACTTTGGGATGGCTTATGTTGGTCTCATGATTGCTGAAGCTTACATAGAGCTAAGGTTCATAATTCTGATGTGTGGAAATGTGTACATAGTGATTGAAAATTATTTTCTTACTTGTTTTAGGAATATATGGATCCTATGAATGAATACAATGCCCTAAATGAAGCGAAGCAAATGATAGCAGTAGCAGATGAAAATCAAAACCATCACTTGGAGCTGGAGGAGATACTGAAATACAGTGAATACTTCACAGGCAGCAAGCTTATGGACTATGCACGTAACGTCCATGAGGAGTTCTGATCCTGCTCACTTTTCCAGAGCTCTGAAGCACTTTCTTGCTTTCAAAAAAAACAAAACAAAAAAAAAGAAGAAAAGGAAAAAAAAGAAGAAAAAAAAGCCCAACCCCCAAACAGACAGAAAGTTACTTTGCTGCTATCTGTGTTATATGCCTACAGTGTGTTGTCTTAGATTTAAAAACAACTTCCGTCCATATATAAGATCTACAGCTTTGTTGCCTTCAGTGTGAGGGGGAAAAAAAGGGTCCATAAATAATAGGGCAGATACTGGACTAGATCAGTTTGCCCTGGTTTGTACAGTTAATCCAGCTGAAATTTCAGCTGCTTTTGGCTACTCATATTTGGTGGAGGCTTCTTAAATATTTAACTCTTCTTGTTGCCCTCATAGCTGCTGATCCATGGAAATCACAAATAACACTGAAAGATGTTTGCTTTTGTAAAGGGGACTGTGGTTCAAATAGGTGTGTTCTGACCTCATGAGAATATCCATACATAGACTGACTGGCTAATCTTCCTGTATTTTTCTCAATGCATCTCAACCTACTTATGTATTGTTGAGAATTTAATACAAGTTCTCCCTCCGTTGCTGAACTATCTTTAGGAGCTGTGGGGAAGAACTTCTGCATCTCCTTTAAAACGAAAAGTGGTTATAGTGTGACAGGTTATGTGTTTGCAGCTGCACTAGGAATGCAAACGACTTGAGATTGCTTATGTCGTAAAAAATCAAGTTTCATTTTAAAATGAAACAATGGGGAAGGTTTCTTTGCGGACTTAAAGATGTTGGACAGAGCAATGGGATTCACCTAGGTGTATGATAACTACTTAACTAAAATTTATTGTTAAAGCTAGTATAATTAATCGCCTGTGTGCAAATTAATGATGCTTGAACTCATGAATTATGAAGCTGGGGGAAATACAGGCTTTGTTTTTGTACTGCTTTTGCAAGAGCAGCGTACAGTCAGCACTTGGGAAGGTTTTTTATCAGTCTAGTTTTGGGTAATCTCTGAAAATATCTTGCAACAGAAGGGTCATATCCACTACTGTCTAAAATAGAAAATTTATTTTTACTCTGGTTCCATCTTACTGTAAAAACCCTCTTTCTGAAGGGTTGCCTGAAAATCCAAGTGAGATGTTATATTTGATTAAATTTATTCTCTTAATATAATGTAAATGTGAGCATTGCTGTCTGTTTCTGTTCCAGTATCCCCTTCTCCTTTTTTTTTTTTTTTTTGTTTTTGTTAAATGGCTTGTATCAGAGTCTTTTTATATACCTGTCTTTTTTCATTAAATATTTTTCTCCGTGCTTTGGAAATGTGGCTGGTTTTAGGTTTGTCAGTGAGTGGGGAAAAAATTGAGACTCTTCAGAGGACAAAATTAAAATATGATTTTGAAAGAACTGTAAGAGAGGTATAAATTCAGTTGCTAATCTTCTGTTAAAATGAGCTTAGAATGTCTGACACATTAGTCAGCCCCCGCTCCCTTCCACCCCCTACCAACACCCCACATGTACTTGATTGCAGGGCACTGAGATTTTAACATGGCCAGGATCTGGAGATGTTCAAAACAAAATCCCGTGTCTAAAAATGTGGTGCTTAGCAGAAGTCATAGATGTGGCTGGTTTAGATTGATTGGCAGAAAGTTTAGGTTTTGCTTTGCTATTGTTTTAACTAAGGCTTCATAAATATGCAACTATCTGCACTTTGAAGTAACACAAAATTATACATGTAAACGTACAGTTTTGCGATGTGGTTGTTGGCAATCTAGTTAAGACAAAAGTTTTAGCAATAGTAGTTGGTAATTGTAGAAATGTCCTGACTGCATTCTTGTATTATACTCTAGTTGTTTGCACAATTCAATTATTTGGATATAATTTGAGTGGACAAGTTCTATCCCGTTACACCTGATGCTCAGAAAGCAAGTGCTAATTTGCAGAGGGATTCTTGAGCAGCTGAAACACGATGGTGAAATTTGGGACTTTATCGTCAATAGAGGCAAAGATTTGCATACGCACTCTTAGTTTAATCTTCCGGTAATGTGAGCATGGAATCCCTTGAAAAACACAAGGTAACACAGTATTTAGCTTGGACCCGCAAAGATGTTGAAGTATGTACTGTTGTTGCAGTAATTGCCTCACAACTGATAAATCTGAAACTTGAACAACTGCAAAAAGTTCATTTTTAATGTATGCATGGAGTTCTGCACCTTAATATGTGTTGTTCTTTTCTCTGCTAGAAATCAGGATCACATGTTAACTAACAGCTGTAAGGATAAAGTGGACTGCATGGTGAGATTTGGAGGTACATGAGATTATTCCTGTCTTAGAATTTTAAAGTTTGAACTATTCTAGTTTGTCCATAGACTTATTTATTTTTAAAAATTCTTCAAGTATTTTATAAGCACTTGGTCTTTCTCGGATTCTTGTAGATCCTTTCCCATCGGGGAACTCTTACTTGCCTGTAATCCCTAAGGAATATAGTGAGTTTTTCTTTAAAGCCTTTTGTTAAGCATGAGTTTCAAGTTCCATGTTTGGTTGGTTGGGTTTTTTTCATGTACACAAGTAATCTGCCTATTGTTTATAGGACTTGGTATCTGAGTGCTGCTATCTCATGGACATGTTTCATCTTTCCAGAATTCAAAAGCTTGTGCAGAATAGCTAGGATAAACATGTATAGTAAAAAATGATACATGTATATTAAATAAAAGCAGAACAGGGTCTTATTTCTGACCCATAGCGTGGCTCAACTCACCATTCTGGAGCTCTCCTCTCCTACTACAACCAGAGCAGGCTGATTTTTGGGAGCAGCCTGTGGCACGTGTGATCCCCACGGCAATGCCAAGCAGCATTTGGGAGAAGTTAATTTGCATTGGTGAAAATGCAGCCAAGGAGTGTGCTAGATGTGAAATGCTGTGGGATGATCGCTGTGTTCTCTCCCTGTTGTATTTACTGCCGTAATAGGGCACGTAAAGGAATCTGGCAATATCAAGTCTGGCAATGCTTGAGGATGCCATACACAGAAGTTGAATTCTTAAGATGGTATATGAAGTTTGTGTGCTAACTGCTTTCATGAAATGAGCATTTAATTTGTATTAAAGTATCCTTAACAAGAATATCAATGTTTCATCATCATCACTGGTCTAGTATTTTGGGAATTTTCAGTTTAAATGTATATAGCAGAATTTTAATCTTACCTTGTTTGTGAACATTTATAGGAGTTTGCATTTTCAGTTTCTTACTGAATAATAATTGGCTTTTTGAATAGGTAATGTCTTCTACTGTTTTGGAAAGAGAATCGGGGGGGAAAAATCTGGTTAAATATTGCTGAGGGAATGACTGAGTCATGAGGCATAAAGCCACTTAAATGGCTTTGAGTGTGAAACTGCAGCGGGAAGAGATTTGGCTATTTCCTGCCTGCAGGTACTGAGTGTGAAGGTAGCTGAAGTTCAGCTGGTACGGTTTACTTGCTCTGAGGTATAGCTTCTTTTCCATAGTGGTTGTTTTCCAAAATGCTTGGAAAATAGGAGAAGTAGAAAAATAGTTACTGTTTAGCCTCGCTTTTGTCTCCCCTGCCACTCTTAAACAGTCTTACAGAAGTTTAAGAAAGAAATGAAAAGCAGCAGTTCTGGATAAAACATGTCACAATACTGCTGTTCAGTCCGCCCAAATACTGCAGGCTAATTGGGATTGCAAATGTACTTCTGTTCCCATCAAATCTCCTTTGCATTTAGATGTAAATTGACTGTCGATCTGCTTTGTCTGGAAAGGCTGACTGGGTTTTATAACTAACGTAAATAAAACATCTTTGATTACTGTAGGATGTCTGGGTTACTTGGGCTTTTGCATAAGAGTTGCTCAAGTCCCTTAGAAGACTTAAAATTTAGATCCTAGATCAATAAGATCAAACTAGTAAAATACTAATAGTGAGCCTGGAAACTTAAATCCACTAATTCCTCGTGTGACCAGTTTTTCCTCTGCTCTACGTGTCGTGTTAGGTGAGGGCAGTGCGCTGTTCAGCCTCCTCCACTGCTGTCCTGTTGTCACTGGCTCGCACTGCTGGATGGAGAAGCCTTCGGGGGGGTTTGGATTCCAGAGTTAATGTGCTTCTGTGGAACAAAATAGGCATCAAAAGTAGCTGGTATGTGAAGATTGTATCCTTTGCTTTCTTAGAGCACACCTCTGCCGGAAGCTTTTATTTCCGTGGGAGCAAATGGTAGGGGTAAGACAAAGTCTCTGTGTTGGAGTCAAGAGCTTACTTTTCTTCAGTGGCAATGCAAGGAGTCTGATACTAAGAGTTCAAATGGAGACTGGAAGAGCTTCTCATCTGTAGGTTTTGCTAGCTCCTGTGGGCGATATCCAGATGACTGATGATTTGTGATTCCGCGCTCTCCCTGAGAAGAGAAATGTTTTAACAACGTTGTCTTTTATGCAGCAATAAAAGTCACGGGTCTGCCGTTACCGTGAGACCAAGGGGGGCGAATCTGTCTGTACTTCGCCTTTTAAGGAGCAAGCCTATGTGGGCTATGTTTCATTTTACCTATGGCTCTCGTCCGTAAAGGTTTTCAGGTGTTACATTTGTATTGCTTGAATACTCCTCTCTACAGTAACAAAGGATAATTCTCATGGCATTCAGCGCCTGTGCTTTAATGCTATGTAGAGAGGTATGTATCTGGCTGGAGGCACTCTGTTTTAAGGCTATGAGTAGAAGTCTTTTCATCACACTATTTAGCATGCTGTCTTTCTGCCTATGAGTGTTTTAGTTGTGAACTGCAAAAAATAGGTTTTTGGGGTGTGGAAAAAAAGGATGGGGGCGTGGAGCACATGCTGGGAGTTTCCCAGCAACTGACATATGAATTTGTTCTGGTCACCAGCAGTTTAGAATCACTTCTCCAGGAGTTTGCCGCTATCAAAATTTTGCTGGGACGGTAGGGCTGGCTACATTATGGTAGCTGTAGGTTTTTACTCACATCTTTCTACTGTTTTGTTCTTGCTGCTGGCAGCCGCTGTTAGCCATTGCTTGGTATTGAAATGCAAAGAACATCATTATCTTTTCCGTGAAAAATGCTGCAAGGACTGTGCCCCTGGTAAGTAATTTTCACTGGATGTTGGTTATACTTGCTTGATGTATTACCTGTCAGTTAATAACCACACATGGTAGAAAACAGCTTGACGGAAATATCATTCAAATGTAGGAAGCATAACATGGAGAAAAAGCATTTGATGAGGAGAGTTTTCTATCAGTCTAGACTGACAAAGATGATTTCTATAACATACTACATTTAGGAATACTCCTCTTTAAAAGAGCTACATGTTCTTTAACTTACTTTGTGTGGCTCAGCCTTCTTAATGTGTTAGTCTGCATTTTCATTGTGGGAATATTAACCGAGAAAAGATGGTAGCATTTATGTTACTGTCCTTTACCTATCACTCAAAGAAGCTCAGAAATCTTGCATAATAAAGGAAAACTTTAGATAATTAATTTTGTTGGTAAAGATGTTTTTTTTAAGCTTTCTTTTGTAGCAAGGTTTATACTACTTAAGACTTGGTGGTTTTTTAAGGAAAAAGATGTGCTTGATTCATAGACAGATTAGCAAAGTGTAACTTGACAGGAAATGTCAAATGTTCCCTCCTTTCTTATTGCAAGAGCTGAATGAGTCTGAATTCTGAGTTTTGCACACGTATGTGAGGTTTTGTACAGAATCTGAGTATCTCTGAAAGCATTGCAGTGTTGAGAAGCACAAGTGCAAAATACCAAACCTCGAATAGTTTAATAGTTGGGATTTCATTGTAGAAATGGCTTAGCAATGAAGAATAACAACAATTAACAGGTAATATTGCTGTTCAGGGGGCAATCCCCTTGTCAGAAGGGATTATTTTTAGTACAGTCGATATTGACTGTACTAAAAGAAGGGTACATGTATGTGCCCAGATGGAGCGTAGGTCATGTCTGTAAATGCAGTTGGAGCTTAAAATCTTGCACACAGTTTTACATGCATCTTTCAGAATATTTGCTTTCTCTTCTTAATTTTGTCGCGTACACAAAATGGGTGTGAAGTGATGCAGTAGCATTATCTTCAAAGATGCGAATTGGAATAAATTCATCCTTTAGTCTAAGACTTAAGGCAGGTTACTGCATTATTCTCAAAACTATTTAAATCGGAGTGTTTCTGAACTCAATTTAACAAAAGGCATACTTGTATGCAGATACAGATAACCCATTATCTCTAAAATTCGTTGTTCCTCCTTACTCTGAACGGACTGTTACCAAGTTTTTTGCATTGTTAGCAACTCTGCTGCTGTTGTGGAAACGTTTCTTCATAGTCTCTTCCTGATTGTGTACATGACAAAAATGTAGAAGTGTATTGCATATATTGTGGTCACTAAAAATCTCCATTATTTTGCCACTGATAACACTTAAAAAAAATGCAGAGAAAATTTGAGTGAGCAAGAGACTTGGTGCTCATTGTTCAGCTACGGAATGGTAAAATGGAGAACCAAAAAGAAAGAAACAGTCTGTGAGAATAAGGATGTATTTAAGCTCAACCGTAAAAACTCCGGTCATTAAAGCTGTCTGTGGAGTTCTGCAGCCTGTGCTGCAGGAGAGAAGCTAGTGAGAAAGAAGGAACGTGTCTGACTCCTTTTCCAAAATCCAGTGGTAACTTGCTGTTTTAGTTTGGGTAAGTCGCTTTGCTCACAACCCGTGTCATCCAAGCGCATCAGCCTGAACTGTGTAAGTACTGTGTATCATACGGGTTGGAATTTGTGGGTGCAATCATTCAGCGCTTGCTTCTAAAGGCAGTGTGTGACAGACACGTGCTGGAGTAACGAATGCTGGCCTTGCATCATCTTGCGCTCTGCCTCACTGTTTATGAAATGGAGCTAATGACATCTTTGATGTTGTTGGGTGTCAATACAGATGCATATCAAAATACACGCTTTTTCATGCCTAATGGGCTTTCAGAATACCAACAGAAAGGTACTACAAACATTTATTATTGACTGCTACGCTAATGAGTTTTCTGCAAACCTGGCAGTCCGTTGCCATCTTTTGTACCTGTTTGGGATTGCTTTGGGTTGAATTGCATGATTTATCTCATAAGGGAAGGCAGGATCTGTCATAACCCATTGTATTACACTGGAGATCAGACTTATTGCTATGCTAAAAACCTGGGTTTTTCCTAACTGACATTGGCTGCAAACTGTGATGTCTAAACCATATGAAGAGGCTGTCTAGAAAAGTGATATTTGGAATCCACTGGGAGAATCATTTGGGGCGTTGCATCAAGTTGCAGCAAGTTATCAGGCCTCTACTAGCCCGTTTTAGCCGATTAATTTACAGTGGTGCTATGGGTCAAAACTTTTAGGGATTCTGGCGTGTCTAAATCTGTTGAATGTTTTCATAAGTGGATGCCAGTTGTAAGTGGAACTGGCACTTTCTGGGCACGCTCATTCTAACGCATGAAAATGAAGAGGATTTCGTTCTAGTAACAATCAGTTCCTCCTTCTACGTGGTCTTTGTTTTAGGTGAAAGAATGAGAAGCCGCTGCACAGCAACAACAGACACAGTGTGTGCCCCCTGTCAAGACGAATACTTCAGTAGTGAGCACAGCCATGACTTCTGCAAGAGTTGTACGATCTGCGACACTAGTAAGTCAGCTGTACCCTGGTCATTTCTTGATACGAATTTGGGAGGCAATGAGTTTTCATATCGTTGCGTGCTCCTCAAAGGCTGATGTTACAAAGCCTGTCGCTTGAGATGACCAAGTCCAAACTGGGTTATCACTTCAGTAGCTGATATCTCCTGGTTGGTATTGATGGTAGAGCTTTCAAAGGGAAGCAGGCTTGCACCGCCTGTGAAAGAATTGTGTGTGTCGTCAGAATTGTTAATAAACTCTGTTCTCTGCAGCTGTATATACACACAACAGAGAGGCACTGAGTAATTAGTTTTTTTCTTTCTTAACTTATTTCTTGTCTCTCACTTGCCCTGTATTCTGTTGTTGCTAGGGAGGGGGAGCAAGGAAGTGAAGAAGTGTGAGAAGACCTCTGACAGAATTTGCATGTGTGAGGCAGGTTACATGCCAGATGTTACATATCCTCTGCGAAGCGGTAAGTTAGTGATGTGTGAGACTCCAAATGTTTGCCTCCTCTTCAGGTGAGGTGGGGGTTATTTCTAGTGTAAAAGCTATTGTCATTTCTCTCACTGATACCTCCACACAAGTGTTACGGCAGGGTAGTTGTGTTAACTGTTGCTCTGTGATTCCTGAGCTGTCAGAAATCTTAATGCTCTCCTTGTTAATATCCATAATTAGCCAGTAGAAAAAAACAGGAAACTTTGCCAGTTGCAGACTAAAATAAGCCACTGTGCATGTTGTGTTACTTCTGACCCAGTGACTGTGGTTTTTAGAGGCTATGTGGGTTTCGTTGGGTCTGTCCTATAAGCTAGACTGCTAGTATAAGCTATTAGTGTCATTCCTGTGGAGGTGTCATACGGTTATGTTGCTAACTGAACTCAAATTCTGCCCCTTTCTTTTTTTTCCCAGTATGCTTACCATGTCCTGAAGGGTCTTATTCCATAGGGGGAAATGAAAACTGCCAACCTTGGACCAAGTATGTATCACTGATCCAAACATGTTAATTTTGGGTTTATCTCGGTAACAGTTGATGCCCAAATCATGGTGTGTAGAGTAAACCTGTGCTAGGTGCGATGAAATTGTGTTCCTCATGACTCTCAGGAGCCTTATGCAGCCTGGGTACTGATTTGAAGCATCTCTCTGCCTTCTGCCCTTTTTCCTCTGCACTTATGGCAACAACAGCCTTTTGGTTTTTTAAAGGTCTGAATGTTTTGTTTGTGTAGCAAAAGGTTCCCTTGCCAAATGCAGGTGTGCTTCAGGGCTGTTAGATGCACAGATGGTGGAAAAAACCCCACCCAGAATGTCAATTCTTTTCCAGTAATAACTTTGATTAGCTTAGTTGTTCTTCACATATCTGTAGAACCTAGGAAAGGTGAAGCCTGAATTTGTATTGATGAAACAAGGATTGTAATGTTCACTCACTTTTTCCATGGAGATTACTTAAAGTCATTACTGCAACTGTTTGAAAAACTACACTGATTTATTTTATGTCTCTAGCTGCAGCGTTCTTGGGAAAAGTACTCTTCAACCAGGGACAAGAACAAATGATGCTGTTTGCAGCAACCATGTCACACAGCCAGCTACATCTCAGAGTGCAACACCAGCTTTGAATCTTTCCACCACCGACTACAAGAATAATACGTCAAATGCGACGTTCTCACCGTCCAGACCCAGTGTGATTCCTTTCATTTGCACAGATACGAACAGCCCCACAGAGACTAACTGGGGTAAGGAGAGGGAATAACCAAGTCTAGTCTCTGTATTTACTAGAGCGGGACAGTAATTTTCATCTGAAACTCATTTCACTGGAAATGAAATCACTTTCTCAGAAGCCCTATCAGTATTTTGCACAATCTTTCAGTGAGACATGCACAGGATTTCAGACTTCTTGCTAGTCTGCTTGGCAGCTGGGACTTTTAGGCTTTGTGGTTCAAGGGTACTTCTGGAGTTCTAGATTCCTTCTTTTGAAACTGGAAAACCGTGGAAACTGCAGCTAGAACCATGCATTTTTTTAGGGTATTCTTCTGTCTTTCTTCCAGGGTCCTTATCACTTATCCTTATTAGTCTGATATTGCTCATGGTGAGTGGAATGTCCATCCTCCTGTTGATTATCCAAGCAGCCAAAAAAGAGACCAAGAAGAGGCCTTGTAGAAGCAACAATCAAGGTGAGTTTCTTTTTATGGGGAAAAAGTATAGGAAAGAGTTACCACGGCCCTGTATTTGAACTTTGATAATTGTTTCAATCATAATGAAGTCTGCCTGACGTAAGTAGCACGGTGTCATCTGCGGTTAATACCAGTGGTTGATGTGCTGGAGGTCATACTGTCTCAGGTTTTGCATTCTTACAAAGCACAGATTCCCCTGCCATGCAGAAGGATTCTCTCTCTCTGACTTAAACTCCTTCTAGCTTTTTCCTCCCTTAGTCCCTGTAAAAATGATGTAATAATTTTGTGCAGGGAATTCTATTCAGTACAGAGAGGATCCAGAATCAACAGTTTTTTAAAGAGTGTATTGTGAACTTTTTTGCCTGCATAGAAGTGAACTGTCTTGAACCGTCTCCTGCAAACACAGGAAAGGTTTGACTGAGACAAGCTGAACACTCTATTGAGAATGAAGTGGCAGCCTGGCTCTTGAATCAGCCCACAGCTGCCTCGTGTTCCATTGTTAGAGCAATGGAAAAGTGTATTTTCACAGTTTCCTACACTTGATGTTTCCTAGCACTGGCTGGAAAGACAAGCACCGACCCAAATGTCATGCAAGTCATTCATGAAACTAGAACAATCCCTGGCTTCCCTTTTCTACTCTATACGGTGTGTTGTTTTTTTTTATTTTATTATCTGTCTTTCAGGAGGAGGGAGCTGTCGACTTCCTATCCAGGAAGAACAAATTGACTCCAATTCTACTCTCATCAAAAACTGACTCCATGTTGCGTTACTGTTTCCTGCATTTCTGAGCCAGTCAATGGTAACAAGTAATGCGACAGAGCATTCTGTGGCTGGATGTGTGGATGTGTGTAACTGTGTAATTGCACTTCGTTTCCTTTGGGTCTCATTGAGCATCCCCTTTGGCATTAGGGCCCATGGGAGTAGGTGTTCTCGGTGGAATCTCTTAGGCAGATCCTGTGCACAGCATCCCTGTTGCCAGGACTGAGTTGATAATAGTCCTCTTTGCATTTGTAGTCAATTCTGTATGTAGTGATGCGCGGTTGTCCGTGGACTGAAGAAAGTGTTTATGAAGCTGTGAGAGCTGATCATCGAGCAGACAGAAAAACGAGGAAATCAAAAGACCTGCTTTATGTCTGAGTTTATATCGTCTTACAACTCTGAGGTGCTAAGGAGAGCATGTCTCTCTATTCTCAGCGCAGGTATCTCCAGTGTATCAGTCTAGTTCCCAAATGAACTCTGCTCACTTTAGGTGGAGAATCTACCCTGATGAACCTAGCCGGCGTCCTTTGTGCTTCCATTTTTTCAAGTTATTTCTTCTTGGTCAAGTGGAGTGGCATATGTCACCTGTGTGTCCAGAGACAGTTGTCATTGCTGGTAACTCTCATGCTGGCTGTGTACCAGAATAGCACCAGGATTCTGGTGCTAGCTGTTAAGAGATGGCTGTTCAATGCTACTTCTCGCTTTTCTGCATTTCTTCAGGCATACCCATTGAGAAATTGTCATGTTAACCATATTGAGCAGTACCCATTATCAGGCTGACAAAGGGAATTATGGTCTCCAGGTAGCTCTGGATCTTCAAGTGTTTGGAAATCTCCATGGAGATCTTCATGTGTGTGGGAAGTATAATATGTGGGTTGCCAGAAGGCAAAGGGGATGGTTATGTCTGATTAGAACATTTTTAGGGAAAACTGTAGTTCAGAATTGGGGGAAAGGTAGAGTACCTCTTGTCTGCACTGTAAACTTCAGTAGTTGCCATGTATAATTAATGTTTTATCTATGAGCCCTGTGCAACCCACGTGCTGTGTGCTTCCTCTTGGGGGACATCCTGGTGTGCTGAAGACCCTGGTGTGTCTGTCATCAGCAAGGCTGCTTCAGTCAAGCCTGGACATCTCCACAGTAAAATTGTTAAGCTTAAACCACTTCCGTGGGACTTGATTGCTTGGGATGTAGGGAGAGACCCACAAGCAAGTTTGGTTCCAGACAGTGCTCTGGATTTGGGAGAATTCTGTTTATGTCTTAGATTTAGGAGCATGTACATGGACATTCAGAGTTTTTCTGCTGCTGAAGGATAATTTTGTGATGATTTAGAAAAGAGTAACTCCTTAGATGTTCTCTGTTGATAAGAGGCAAGAGCTGAACTCTTAACGCAGTGCTGACTCCCCAGGCCTTCAAGTTGCCTTTTGGCAAAGGTGTGCAAAGATCGTGTAACGGTGGATAGATGCCTAAACTGTGCTCTGACCATTCATCTGGATGATCACCTTGTGTGTGCTGTCAATGGGACCTGCATTCAGAACGGAAGAAGTGCTTTGGTTTGCTCACTGTGCAGTTAAAATGCCTGGTTGTTTGCCTGTATGCTGTATGAAATGAATTTTACTTCTGTAACATTTTACCACAAGTTAATCAGTCTGTCGTTTTGGAAAACATTCAAATTTTGGATAGCGAGTTCAGAATCTGAAGTGTCTGAGAGAAACCTGGAGTGTTATTGTCAATAGCTTTGGATGTAATTTAAATACCTCAGTATAAAAGTTCAAGAAGTAGTAGAACTCAGAACTTACATAATTCAGAAGTGTTTTTCACTTCAAGCGTAACTCCTCAGTAGACAACTTGTTAGAGATAGGTATTTTATAAACAGAGTACCAAAGCATATGCCAAAGTATGCAAGAGGAAATGTATTCAAGAATACAACTGGTGTCTAGAAACATGTTTTTAAACATATGTTTTCTTATATGTTATACATATGGTGTTCTTAGCAGTGATTTCCAATTTTGAAGTGCATATACAATGTATATAAATATTTGTATTATATACGAAGTGTGATAGTGACTTTTTGAAATAAATTGTGGTAGCAGCTAGATGTGCATGTGTGATGTGTATGATTGGAGAGTACAAATGGGCAAAGTGTTATTCCAGCGTGTATAATTCTCGGAGAAGGCGGGATCACCAGATGGTCAGTCCTATGGGTTAGCTGGCTTTGAGTTCGCGTGCTGCCTTGCCCTTGGCTTTCCGGGCGACTTGAAGCTCTGTGTAGTGTTTTCTCTCTGTAAATCTGGCTCGGCAGCAGTTCTGACCTGAGAGTTGCTGGGATGTTCAGGATGATGGGAGAGTGCCTGGGAATACCGAGTGCTGTAGGCTTACCTGCTGTAGGCACCCCTGCTCTGGCAGGGGGGTTGGACTCGACGATCTCCAGAGGTCCTTCCCAACCCTGACCATTCTGTGATAAGGCTCAGCCCCTTCAAAAATGTAGAGTCTCTGTTGTGAATGTAGAGGTCTTTGAAAGTGTGCTGTGGCCTAAACGCTGTCATCTTGCAGTGAATTGGGTGGCAGAGTGCTGAATCGGAGAAATGCATTCCAGGGAACCTTCAACAAATTCTCGGAAGCGATACTTATCGAGTTAGGCTGCACTTAGGAGGCAATAGAGCAAGTACCATGTTTCCGTATAACCGGGCAAGGCGCAGATAAGTAATGAGCTATCTGAGGTTGTGGGTTATACGGTGAAAAGAACCCACAGGAGCAGATGAGAAGTGCTGCTGTGGCAGCAGAGCTCCTCTGTGGTGTGGGCTCATCAGCTGTTTCCACGAATCTGACTTGCTTTCTGCCCTCTGGCTCTGCTGCACAGGAGGACTCCCGAGTACACTGTGTTCTTGTGCCTTCCTACAGCCTCCCCAGCAGGAGATATCCCGCAGACGAGGGGGTGGGTTCCGTCTGGTTGAAGAACTAACCGATACTGGTCCTGCAAGTGCACAGCAGAGGTAGGGTAGCTGAGAACAAGTTGCATTTGCTCATCAACATTTGGAAGACTGAAGACGGACAATTTAGCGTGCTGTGTGGCTGAAGGCCTGTAATAGCAAACCCTCCCGGGCTGAAATTGTTGGCTTTTGTGCTCATGTGTACCTGTGAGCCAGTCTGCGCTGACTGTCCTGCTGTAGGACTGCGTCCCGTCTCTGCGCTGAGACGTATAATCCTATCAGAAGAGTTAAACCATCGTAATATTTGATGGGGTTGGAGGCATTTATGATTTGATGATTTGATTATTTTTTGAGGATTTGCATGTTGGTAGACTGCCAGTTTAAATAAATTAATGTACCTATTTCTAAATAAAGGAACAACAATTTTTTTTTTTAATTGCCATCTTCAGTCTTGTCACTCTTCTGTCAAAGTCTTGCTTGGATTTTTTTTTGTTTCAATCCTCCCTAAAATGACAGAAAGTGGTTAAAAATAGGTAGAAAATCTTGAACAAGTTGGCGCTGCCTGTTGCCTACGCTTGCCTTCCTACGTGCCAGAAGTGAAACTTTCCCTTCTCAAAGGTTTGGGCCTGTGTCACAAAGTAAGTTCCTGTTTTTCAGCCATTCAGATTTCCCCATTTTCAGGCGCTTGAGAGAGAGATGGTCTAAGTTGTGCAATTTCATCTAAGCTGATTAAGATAGGGCCGTACTGGAAATTTTTTTCCAGTGTCGTGCAGTAAGCTGCGGTGTCAGTTCTCTTATTCTGCAAAGCAATGCTAACTCGGGTTGTAGCGTGAACTCTATTGGCAGTTAGAGTACTTGGGAAACCTATACGATTTGTAAATTAAATGTATCTTGGTTGCCATAGAGCCCTGATTCAGCAAGTTATTTAAGTGTGTGCAAAACTCTGCATGAATGTTGTCGCTAAAATTTGACCTCTTGATTGTTTTAAGAACCGTCTGCAAAACGGACTAATAATTCCTACAATAATTTTGTATTTCTGGGTGAGAATAACACTATTTTTTTTCATGAAGAATTTAACTGTTTTTCAACTGAAGTAGTCATGAGTTAGAGGACAGGTGGCCAACCCCTTATCTTGTTTATTTGTAATTAGGTACAGACAGAGATTAGGTCAGATAGCTACAAAAAAAAAAAAAACAGGAGGAAAAGCAAACAGAAACCCAACCCCTCTTGTCTTCGGGATTTTCATCTACAGTATTTTTTCTCTCTTACACGTGAGGCTATCACATGTGGCTGCCTGGAGTTTTAACAAGGCTTTTTATTTCAAGTGGAGGTTTGTTTTGCTAATTGCTTTGCTGCATTCAGTTTTGGAGAAAGATTAGGACAAGAACAGATGGTTTTTGAGAGCTGCGTTGGAAAAACCAATTGTATAAATGAGCTGGGTTTTGCACTTCTTGAATGCTTCATTCAGGCTGCAGATTTGGCAGTTAACATGTTATTTCATGTTTCAGTAGTTGTTATAATAAAAAAAAAACAACAAACCAACAAACCACAGATCTGTAAGTTTATGCTTTTTATGTTCACTTCCTCCTTTGTCTCTCTTTTTTTTTTTTTTTATTTTTCTTGGTTTTCCCCTGAAATATATGACAAGTTTCTGCTACTGCGGCTACCCCAGATCCTTTATCTCCTGTCTTTTCACATTCTCCTGTGACTTAGAAGTGCACCAAAGTGACTCAGGTTTGCCATGAGAGACTAAAGAAAGGTCACATCCGCTGATAGACGCCATGCCAGGTGCTAAGCGGGAAAGGAAACACACAGCTCGGTAATGTCAGGGACTTGGGGTTTTTGCCTCTGTCTGGTTTGGTTTCCCTCTATGAAACGCCGGTTACGTTACTACCTGGCCTCTGCGCCATCGGGGTTGTCTGCGAGGAGTCACCGCTCTTGGCGGCTGTGCAAACAACCCGGAGAGGTGACAGCGAGACTCATTCCGTAGGATAAAGCAGAGCTCCGATGAAAGCGTGCTGCGGGGTCCTTAGTGCTGCTCGAAGGAAAGATCCAGGGGGTTTTGCAA